CTTCCCTAATAGCTTGGCACCAAAATAAAAACATAGGAGCATGGTAAGAGATTTTGAAGTTTCATGGGCCCTGTCCGATATTGTTGTGATTATAGCATGGCAAGTTACTGAAGTTTCTTTTGTTGGTAAAGCCCTTTTTTTTTCTCCATCTCCTATTAACTAGGGACTTTTTTCCTTTGCCATTTTGGGTAGATGGTGGTTATTGTGGTTGACTGCTGGTCTGTTAGTAATTTTATTGTAACTTTTTGTTAGGTAATATTGTAGTTTTTCTTTTCTTGTAATAGATCTAACCTTATTTGAAATGAAATCTACACATATGCAACAGATCTAACTTTGGACGAATGAGCAGAAAGAAAGAGATAGAAACAGAGAATGATAAGAAGAAAAAAAAGAGGAAGAAGAAGAGAAAAAACTAGACAGAGGAAGAAGGGGAAAAGAGAAGGAGAAAGTTAGAGAAGGAAAGATGAACAAGCATGCGGGAGAAATAGGAAGAAAAAGGAAAAGAAAATGTATGTGCGTTAGAATGACTATATTGCCCTATGATTCTGTCCCACATGAGGCTCAAATGTGAATTTGGACGAAACTTTGGATTAAATCATCTTAAATTTAACAGTAGGGGTGAAATTAACGAATTCATGTAGTTTGGGTGCTAAATTGGCAATTCTTTAGTTCATGGGGTAAGTTCAATTATGGTAATATTTAAGGGGGTAAACGGCTAAAAATCCTATTAATAAACTAGTTTACTAGATAAACTCTCCATATACCAATGGGAAGAAGGAGCAAGGTAGGAAGAGACATCTGGACAATAAGGTGGTCAACAAAGGGAAGGAGATTGGAGTTGTTCCATATGGAGCCAAGGGCGAGGAGCACACGGACAAGAAGAAGTTCTCGGGTTGCTTTCTTCGCCAAGAACCCCACTGTGTGAAGGACTGTTGGAGAAGGCAGAACTTGAATGCAATTGTGACTGAAAGAGAGGGAGGTGTTGAAGAGGGCAGCAATCTCTAGGTGAGTCCAATGGTTTTATTGAATTCACTAAGAGTTATACTACCGAAAAATCCTTTGGGAGAGGATGCAATTAAGCAACCGGTGTTGGAGGTGATCGAGGTGTTCGTGGATATGTTTGCCATGGAACGCTTGAAGATTTTTATTGATGCTTCTTTAGTGCATGGGGGTATGCTTATAGAGGCAATTGAAAACATGGAGTCGAATTGGTGAATTGTGGGCTAGAAGAGATGCAGTTTGCAGCATTGGTGCATTGGTGCATTGCCTTGATACTTAGAGGTTCTACCTGCTAGATAGGAAGTTTGTGGCAAACACTTGTGTGCTGCATAGTCACATGTACAGTACAGGTACCATTCGAGATGACTTTAGCATTTATGTGGATGTGCTAGATGAGTTCGATTTCAAGTTGGCCTATATGTCCACTAGGCACAAGGACTTCGAGGAGAGGTTTGATGAGTTGATGGCAAATGTGGCTTAACATGTTTCTTCAGCTTCGGACCCTTTGAAAAGTGAGTCAGATGATGAGTCATGGGTGAGCTCAGCAATTGATAGCATTATAAGGGATGCTATGTTTAGAGAAAACCCCGAGGCTAAAGAGGAGCCACAGTGGAAGGATGAGCCTATGGTGGAGTCTAAAGGCGAGATAGTTGTGATCTCAAGTGACGACGAACAAGAGCCTATGGAAGAGTCCAAGATGAAGGTTATCCTGATTGAGTCAAGTGATGATAAGTCTATGGAGGAGATCAATGGTGAATTGGTTCAAGAGGAGCCAAGAGATGTTCATATGAACGAAGGTTGCTAGGGAGTTAAGTCGACGAAGGCATCGGACTGTTTTGGTGGGGGTGCTTTGTAAGACCCTTAGCAAGTGTTATAGGTCATGGCATGGTTTTGATGTTTGCACCATGCCAGGGCAAGTGAAGCGTGTAGTGATGGTGCACACTAGAAGCAAGACAAGGTCGGAGGAATGGAGTTTTAGGCTGAGAGTAGGTAGCCAAGACTTTGGCATAGAATGGGAAGTAACGCCCAGAATGCGCAACAAAACATGGCTAGCAGGCACGCAGCACAGTAGCGCTAAAAGCAGGCAAGCGTGTAGCGCAGACTGAGGCACAGCACAGCAGCGCGTAGCTCATGCAATGCACAGCACTATCAAGTAGCGTGCAGCATGTCTACAGAATGTGCACAGGGACGTGGCAAAATGCTGGCATATGTGCTAGAATGGGACTCTAACGTGGCTGAACAGTTTTGAGCGATTTCAAAAAAGTTCGAACTTGGCTGGGATTGTTGTAGCTTAAAATTCGGGATGTGGATAAGTGTTGGAGCAAGTGTGGACGGTTTACATGGTTGTGGGTGCATGCTCCAAGTAGTAGGGAGATTTTCAAGGAGTGAAATTCGGCCTCAAGGCATAGTGGGTTGTTAAGTGGAGCCAAGAGTGGGCTGGACATGTTTTGTGATAAGACTGAATGTCTAGGTGGCAGATCTAGGGACTGCCAACGTTGCTTAGTATATAGGAGTGTCACCTACATGTTTTATGCTTATAATTACCTTGACAAGGTTGAGTTGAGATACCAAGTGATGTGATAGTACAACAAAAGTAAGAGCTTGTAATCCCTTGCTATTTGAGAGAAATAAAAGGTTGGGAACTTTGCCCGTATATTGTGTGTGAGAGTTTTCATGTGTAGGCAAGTCTTACTTGGGTGTGTTGGCATTCACTTGTTCCGCTACATGAAATATGTAGCCTCACGAGTTGGAGGAGTGAGAAAGCTGACTTAGGAGGAGTCTAAGTGCAGAGCAAGGGTCGAAAAATTAAAGGCATTTTTCACTTGTGTTACACTCGCCACGGTGGAGATTGTTGAAGTTGGCTCGCTTAATTATGTGGAAATAGGAAGGAGAAGCAGTAAGTGACCGGTTGTTTCCAGAAACGGCCAATAGCATAATACCAAGAGCAATAGTCGCGAAGTGCTAGAACGATTTGGAGTTACTATGCAAAGAGACCGGTCACAAGTATTGGGCGACCGGTAGCCACCTGTTTTCTTACTTGGCGTGTTTTGTCATTTTACAAGGGTTTTGGGTATTTTACTAGCCTATTTGGGCTAGGTTAAGTCTTCTATTCCTATTAGGATTGTACTTAAGTCCTTTAGTACTAGGTTTTCATAAGATGAGAAGAGAGGAGAATTCAAAAGTGAATTTTCAAATGAGAAACACAAGACAGAATTCAAGGGTGAATTCTTGAGTGTTTACAAGAGCATCAAAGGGTGTGAGCAATGGTGAGAGAAAAAAGATCTAGGGATCTTGTGAGAGCTAAGGGGGTTCAAGATTGTAACCAAAGTTGTTCTTACACACTAGTGAATTTCTTGGGTGGATCACCAAAAAGACATAGGCATGAGGCCAAACCTCTATGAATCTCTATGTTCTTGTGTGTTTGTTTTATTCTCTTTGTGGTGTGTGTGTTTTATTCTCAAGGGGTTTGTGTGTGTGTCATCGCATAGTCCATCAACGATAGGTCTTGGAGTGTTTTCGCACAACACCTACACCAACAATGCATAAGTTTGTGATGTTCACTGCTATTTAGAGAGTCATCAAAGTATAAACAACATTAGAGTTGTTGATTGTCCACTAACCTGGGGTCTCTGAATGTTTTTATGCGTGAACCACCTGGACTTGATTTTCATAGAAATCTAAAGAGATCAAAACTCTTGTTTTAGTCGCTCAGAGTCGAAGAATCCGGGAGAGGATAGGGGATTGATTGTGTTGGAATAAGGAACGTCTTTAGGTAACATGGGTATGGGAATTAGGGTATTGTTATATTATATTATATATTTGTTAATTAAAAATAATTACATCATTTATTGAGCTAGGTTCGGAATGGGGATAATAATATCGTTCCCAGCCCAAAATCTCCCTACTTTAGGGGCGGGACCCGACTCGACGAAAGAGTGAAGTCTTTAAAAATTTGAAAAGCTTATTTTCCATAATAATTAAAAATAACTTAATAATTTAAAAAAACATTATGCAAGTGCCACCAAATTTACCCGTTTGTTATATTTTTTTATTTTAATTTTTGCCTCTTTTTCTTTGTTTTCATCCACTGGAAGAAAAAAAAACGGAAAGAAAATAGTAGAGGGTTTCGCGTTTCAGACATCTTGCAGCACTCAAATTCAATTGTTTTTGGGAGCATCCGCATACTGGAGAGAAGGGAAATGGGAAATCCACAGAAGTCGAGTAGTTGGAGCCAAAACCTTCATACAGCGGCAAGGTCCGGTGATCTAACTGCAGTACAGTCAATTCTCAGCTCCAATCCTTTGGCCGTCAATTCTAGAGATAAGCACTCCAGAACTCCGTATCCTTCTTTTCCCTCTTTACAAATCTCTCTCTCTCTCTCTCTCTCTCTCTCAACTTGATGAAGATTTTATATTCTTCTTTCCTTACAAAAAATAAATGTGGCAATGCATTTTTTTATGTTCCAATTGAATTCTTCTTCCTATGATTTGTTATTTCCATGATTGTTTTTCGAGAAATATTTGGTGGTATGCTTCAGTTACTCGAGGAGCTCTTGCCTCTGAGAAAAGAGCCCAATAACCAGTTTCGGGTTAAGTCGTTATACATTTCATTTTTTATTTTTTATAATTAATCAGGAGGGTTTAGCCCTATACATTTCATTTTATTTTTTATTTTTTAAAATTAATCATGAGGGTTTAGCCCTATATAACAGAAAACTGATATATGCAGTGGGGATGACTTGGATTAAAAATTCTATAAAACAGTTTTAATTTGTTTTTTGTTAAAATATGATGCCATGTAACATACAAAAGATGAGTTGTTTTACAGTAAGTGTAGCTGCAAAAATGTGTTTCAACTTGTTTTGTCATTTGAAAATTTCAACCATCTGGTATGTAGTAAATGTGTGATTGCATTTCTCATCCGGTATCTAGTGAGTGTCTGATATCTTGCTCTGGTAAGGGATGGCCGAATCCATTCCACAGAGTCACCCGAAAAGATGTATCTAGTCACGACATTATTCATGGGATTATTCATGGGATTCTAGTCTAAACCTCGAAATCACTTGGTTCCACTGTTTTTTACTTCCTACCGTTCACAATGTAAAATTCAGATTAATGTTTCCTTGACAAGTGATCTTGATCAAAGACTACATTTAGCAGCATGGTCTGGGCAAACAGAGGTGGTGAATTTTCTGTGTAGCCACAAGGCTGATGTTGGTGCTGCTGCTATGGACGACATGGGTGCTATACACTTTGCTGCCCAAAAGGGACATTTAGAGGTTGTTCGCACTCTCCTTTTATCTGGGGCTTCTGTCAAAGCTTACACTCGCAAAGGCCTCACTCCACTGCATTATGCTGTTCAAGGGGCCCATGTAGAGCTTATCAAGTATTTGGTAAAGAAAGGTGCAAATCTCAGTGCGAAGACAAAAGCAGGGAAGACCC